TCAAAATTTTAAGTGATTTCAATAACTAGTTCAAAAAATATATATAAATATATATAAAATAAAATTTAGTATCAAACCGAAATTTATGTGAAAAAATATTATTTTACAAAAATACAAATAACTTTGCATCTAGTGAATCAAATTAAATAAAATTTTATCCACAAATTCTTCAAGATAAGGTGCATCTAATATATCAAAACCATTCAATTTGGATTACTAGATACAGAGATATCACATCTCAAAGACAATGTACCAAACTGGAATAAATTTTTTGAAGAAAATAGTTTTTTGTGAATATTTTCGCATCCAATTAACCAAATTAGATGATTTTGATATTGTCAGATTTGTCTTATTTATGTGAATCTAGTGATATCAAAATCATCTAATTTGGTCCACTAGATGCAGAGATATTTGCAAAAATGGTTTTCTTTAAAATTTTCTTTTAAATATTTTTTTACCCTGATTTTTGTACAGTATTTTTGAGACATTATATCTTTGTATCTAGTAATTCAAATTATATGATTTTGATATCATTAGATGTATCTTGACTTGATGAATCTGATGATATATAATTATTTAATTTGATTTACTGGATATAAAGATATTGACATATTTATAAAATAAAATAATTTTTTTCACATAAATTTTCAGTTTGATACTAAATTATATTTTTTATATTTATATATATTTTTTTTGAACTAGTTATTGAAATTACTTGCAATTTTGATAAGTTTCAATAATTCTATTAGCTTAGAATTATAAATCTTGCTTTTTTATTAGTTTTTGCATAATTGTATTTTAAAAAGTGTTCATAATATTCTGGGAGATCTTTGTACAATAACTTTAACCTTAAATCTAAATCTACTTTAGCTAAAACTCATGAAAAGATATTCAACAAAGATAAAAGTAAGTTCACAGAACATCCAAGTTCTTATTCAAGTTTATAATAAAAATGTGAATTCTTTCTGAATGTACACTGAGAGTCATAAAGTTAAAAGTTGATTATCTAATATTGAGGACTTGAACAATTTTGCAAGTAGAATCAAAAAGATTTAAGTATTAAAAGATGTCAATTCACAAGAACTTGTATTCTTTAATTATAATAATCACAATATATCTCTTCGATCAGACACTGATCTCAAAGCTCTAGCTAAGAAAGCAATTGATGAGAGCTCAGTTGTTATTCGATATTCACTATCAAATTCAAATAGTAAGTGATAGTTTTATTTTTTTGGCTTCATTTTTTCCACTTAAAAATAAGTATAATCAAACCTCACTATAGTCACATCCATTTATAGTTATCTTATTTTGCTTTCCTATCTACATATAAATACAGTAAAAAAATCTCTTTATAATTACATTTTCTCTATAGTCACCAAATTTTGTTTTTCTGAGGATAATAATTATAGAGAGATTTGACTGTACTTGTTAATGTTCATCAAATACAGTTATGATAAAATACAAGTATTCAAATAGCAATTTAACTTACTTAGATAAATGTGAAATACTATATACCACTAGTTCTTTGAGTCTATTAAAAGAAACTATTAAAGAAAAATTCAAAGATTTGCAAGAATTCTATTTTTTTAATGATATAGTAAAACAGGAGATTTTGAATGAGTATCTCAAACTGAAACAGAAGATATCAACTACAAACTTGAGTTAACAAATAAGATTAAGAGTAAAAAGTTATATAATACTTGGAAACTTAATGATGTATTTCAGAAATATTATACAAGAATTATAAATCTCTTAGTGATATCTTGAGATTTGATTTGAATATATATAATTCAATAATTCTGTTAATTACTATAAATAATTATACAAATAATTATACAAATAATCATTATATAAATAATATTATTTAAATAATTATTTAATTCTAAATTTAATTAATAGTTTAATATTCAATAATTATTTATAAAAAAATATATATATTTTAACGAAAAATTAATTAATCAAGTTCTAAAAATGACTTTAAAATCAAGTTTTCTATAGTATATAATATCTAAAATCACCAAATATTTATATTTTATAAAATATATAACTTTTTTTCTAAGAAATAAATACAAAATTTAATCTGTGAATATAATAGAATAGACTCTTTTTGAGCATATTCACAAATTAAATTTTGTATTTACTTCTTAACAAAGAAATTTATACATTTTATAAAATACAAATATTTGATAACTTTAGATGTTATATATTATAATGACTCAAAAGATATTTCTTTGATAATAAAGCTCTTTTGAAAATTAATAAACAAATATAATATTAATTTATTTTTTTTATTATTTTATTTAATTTTTATTGAGTTTTGTTTAATTATATTTTAGTTTTTAATTTATTTATGATTTTTTATTTTAATTGCAAAATCATGTTTATTTAGTTTATTTAATTTTAGTTTTGTTATAATTTCTTGTTTTAATTATAAAATTATGTTGAATTAATTTAATAAACTGAATTATTAGTATTTTACTTCTTTATAAACTATTTAATTAATACTTTTTGGTGCATTTGAAAATTTAAAGACACAGTTACATCACATTTACATTTACATTTAAAAGTATAAAATCTTTAAATGATAGCAATAACAAATTCCATTTATTAAAAACTAAATAATTATCAATCAATTATAAATAAGAAATCACAAATTTTTTTTTTGCTAAATCCAAGAACAAAATTATTTGCATTTAAAAATGAAATCGAAAAAAATAAGACTAAAGATTTAATATCAATTTAATAATAATATTCTTTAGCATCAACATTAATTATAACAAATACAACAAAAAAATATTATTATAAATACACAAAGCTTCTTTCAAAAATTACAAGATGAAAATAATAATACTTTAATCATTTCATCACACACATATAATCTTAAAGGTGAATTGGAAAAGTATTTAACAATACCGTTAAAAGATCAATTAAGCCCTTGCTTTGGTGGCAAGCTCAACAACAAGAATATCCAATTTTGAGTCAATTGCAAGATTAAACAATAATAGAATAATAACGATAAGTGTATATTTATTAAATAAACCAGTCTAAAAACTGATTTACAAACCATTTAATAACGATAAACTGGGACTGATCTAAAAAGGAGGCAAGGCTGGTCGTTTTGGACTAGAACTGAACTGGACTAGACTAATCCAACCCTAGTCAGTTGTGAACTCGCTATTGGCTCTCGGCAACAAGTATATATATATCATATTCGCGGAATAACACGTAACCCTTCGTCAGCACGTGCTCGAGAACTCCCGGCGAAAGGAGTTGAAATAGTAAAAGGTAATTTGGCAAGTCGCGAAGATATGGAACGTATATCCAATATGTATTAATATTATGGATTTGTTGTCGCAAAAATTGATGCGCTGTTATTTTTCTCTGTATCATCAAGTCTATTGTTGGCGAAGATCCTGCTGAAGAAGAAAGTTAATTGCTGATGTGGCTAAGAAAGTTTGTAATTAATAAATTACGAGAATTATGAACATAATAATCACAATGATAATTCATATTCATCCTCTTAACGACACCGAAAAAGAATCAAATGGTCGCTACCACAGAGCAGTTCATCTTAGCAGTAACGGTAAGTTCTCAACTGTTCACTTGGCATACATAATATTATTGTTCTATATCAAATGCTTTATACGCAAAAATCAAACAGGCAAGAAACGTGTAGCGCAATATATTCGCAATAGCGGTATTCCTTACTCGACATTCGTCTATGAGGGTTTTGAAAGTAACTGGTACACTGAAGAACAAACGGCAAAAGAATGCCGCATTTAGCAAACGAAGAGATTTATCCTATGCTAGGATGGTTCAACGACTATGGGTACTACGGAAAAGACACCGCAATGAGCGATTTGTCGGCGACTAAACTTACGAGCAGTATGTGCGAAAAATCTGACGATTAATATTAGCATTAGTATATGTTATAAAATTATATTTTGATGTTATGAATTTAAATTGTTTCCATTTTACATATTAGTTTTATTATTGAAATAAAGATTTTCGTGTGTCTTGACACAATTTGATAATTTATTTTACGAAATGAGCGAAGTTTGAAATATTTCTATCAAGATATTGTTTTTATCGTCTGGTTTTTACGTCATCAACCGTTTCTTGACGATAAAAATACAATTCCTTCCACTTTCAAAGGCAAAAACAAAAGTAAAAAATTATTACCATAATAAAAATACATTTTTTCTGAAAAAAAAGTTGAAGACCGACACTTTATAAAGTTTTCTTTTAATAAGATTATCACATTTGGCATGTCAATCAACAGACATCTCAGCTGACTAATACTTTTACAATGTCAAACACAAACAGCCTACCGTTGGATCCTCAGCTACTCTGGAAACCTAAAAATGTTTCTGAAACTGCCATGGACAAGTTTCGACGCGAAATCAACGCGAAATATAAACTCAAAATAGGTGTGCATTCTAACACTTGAAACGTCTTCAACAAAAAGTTCCAAGTTCGAATAAACCTTATTTTTACATTCAGAGAACTATCAAAAATTGCAGCAATGGTCTGTGGATAATATTCCCAAGTTTTGGGAAACAATTTGGCATTACACCAATATCATATATTCTTCGCCATATATTCAGGAAAGAATGAAACTAATTGGATTGATATTACAAGATTGGTTTTAAAATTTGTAATTTTTAGAATAAGAACAGTATTTTTATCTCGAATTTTATGATTTTTCTAATAGATAGTAGAATCTAAACCAATGGACCACATTCCGGGATGGTTTCTCGGGGCGAGATTAAACTTCGCCGAAAATTTGCTTTGGTGTCGCGATCCAGATAAAATTGCCCTAATTTCCACCGGTAATTCAACATATTCAATTTATTCTTTAGTTCAATCAAACAAAATCCTAAACATTGTGAGAACTTTTTAGGAGAAGGGCGCCAAATTAGAAAAACAACATACGCTCAACTGTTTGATCAAGTACGTCTTGTCGCGTCAGCAATGCGCAAGGCAGGATTACGAAAAGGTGATAGAGCTGCTGCCTATACAACAAATTGCAATGAAGTGGTAATAGCAATGCTTGCAGCTGCTAGTATTGGCTGTATCTGGGCAAGCATTTCTACTGATTTTGGTGTATCTGGTGTACTCGACAGATTATTGCAAGTCAAGCCAAAGATTTTATTTTCCGTCAACTCTTTCATGTATAATGGAAAGTTGTATGATCATACGGTGAAACTTAAATCTGTAGTTGAGCAACTTATTACTGAAGGACTTGAGAAAGTGGTCATTATACCTTTTGATAGTTCATCGTCAACGTCTTCAAACGAATTATCATTCTCGGAAATTCCTAATGCAATTTCATGGATCTCTTTTATTGAGACAGCCAATCCATCTGAATCATTAGTTTTTGAACAATTGCCATTTGATCATCCCATCTATATACTTTTTTCATCGGGCACCACGGGAAAACCTAAATGCCTGGTACATCGTGCTGGAGGAGTATTGCTTCAACATAAAAAAGAACATATTTTACATGGTGATATGACTGCAAATTCTGTATTCTTTTACTATACGACAACTGGATGGATGATGTGGAATTGGCTAGTGGCAGGTTTATCGATTGGATGTGCAATAGTATTATATGATGGATCACCATTCAGTCCTGGTCCTTCCATTCTGTGGGAATTAGCTGATGAGATTGGGTTAGTTGATTTTCAGAGTTGAACTTTAATTATTCATGATTATTCTCTTCAAATTATTTATTTGATATTCGACTATAAAGAATCACAAGTTTTGGCATTTCAGCAAAATATATTCAGAGTCTTCAAGATGTTAATTATCAGCCATATCTACATCATAATTTATCGAGTGTTCGGGTGATTATGTCTACCGGATCGCCGTTGAAACCTGAAAGCTATGATTTCGTCTATGATTCAATAAAGAAAGATGTCTTGTTAGGTTCGATAACAGGTACAAAAAAGATTGGTTGTTTCCTTTTAATCAAAAATCATCTGAGTTTAATGTGCTTATTTATTATGTATTTATCTATAGGTGGGACAGATCTATGTTCTTTGTTTGCCGGTCTTAATGCGGCTCTTCCTGTTTATCGAGGAGAGATTCAGTGCATATGTTTAGGCATGAAAGTTGAAGCTTGGAATGGCCAAGGTATGTAGCATTGTTCGAGGTAAAAGATTTTAATCCACTTATTTACTATTGTGAATTATTGATTACTACTAGATAGTCCCGTTTTTGCTAAATCCGGTGATCTAGTATGTACCCGCCCTTTCCCATGTATGCCCGTCTATTTTTTGAACGATCCAAACAATCAAAAATACCGGTCCGCTTATTTCGACAACTACCCATCAATATGGTACCACGGAGATTTTGTATGGATAAATCCTAATACTGGTGGTGTAGTGATGCTCGGTCGATCAGATGGAACACTTAATCCGGGCGGAATTCGATTTGGAAGTGCGGAAATCTACAACATTGTCGAGAGTTTCCCTCAAGTTCAAGATAGCCTTGTGGTAGGTCAAAAAATTGGCGACGATGAGCGGGTAGTGTTATTTCTTAAAATGGTATCCCAATATGGACTGGAGAAAGAACTTGTGAACAAGATAAAGACAAAGATTAGGTTGCAGTTGAGTCCTAGACATGTACCTGCTTTTATTTTACCAATTAAAGAGATTCCGGTAAGTTTTGTTGGTTTTTTCTTTTTTTTTCCCGAAAATCCACAATTATAATTAATGATCAATAATCAATTAGTACACAATAACCGGAAAAAAAGTGGAGATTGCAGTGAAACGTATAATCTCTGGTGAAAAATATATCCCGACTGGGACATTAGCTAATCCGGAATCTTTGCAACAGTATTACAATATTCCACAATTAAAGTTTATCAAAAACAATCTGTAACATAATTAAATGCAAACTGTTTTTTCCAAGTCATCAAATGTTGTATCCAATTACGTCAGAAAGAATGAAATGCAAAGTGGATTTATCTAGATTTGGATTAATTTGGGGATGGCTAAAGCCAGGTACATCACGTGATATGCGACTATATAATTAAAGATTAATTTTAAGCTTAGGGTCAGGGTCAAGGCTAGAGTTGAGATCAAGATTATATATAAAATCGCCTCCCCGACATTTTTTGTTAGTATACCAAGATAGATTTAAGCATCTGTTTTCCGTTATTTTTCATATTTTGTTCACGTTTCGGATTTGTTTTGAAGGGCTGATCAAAAATTTACGCATCCTTATTGGGTTGTGTTTCGGACTGATTATCCGATGTACCCGGCTTTAGCGTATCCCTAGATTTGGAAATTTTATTCCTTATGACCGATTGTTTATGCATGAGTTTGTTGTGACATGCACGTACATGTATATGCAATGTAGATTATAAAAGCTCTGGTTTTATAACACGTTTTTTAAATGTCAAAGCGCGTAAAGGTTTCTTTGCTAGAAAAAGTGTAAGTTTAAAAATTAGCTAATCTAGATAAAACAGTAAACAAAATATTAGAATTAAACGGAGATTATTAATATCAATTTATCACTTAATATGTCACTGTTTTTTATATTCGTTCAACCATAGTAAATCATTTATTGATTTGTTCTATTATAATTGTCCGGTCTTGCTTTGTCATCTTTTGAACTTTCTGCGAATAAATCAAAGCAAATAAATAATTGCACATGGGTACAATTAAGAATAAGAATAATGGACGTGAGAAAAACTTCAAGATTCACGATATTTGCTTAAACGTTAAAAGCAATGTACATAATGGAATTAATTGTAACAATAATAATGGAAGAAATGGCCAAAGAACACAATCAAATCCAATTCTCCGTACTTCCCAACCTGAAACTCATCCACCATCGTTATCTATCACTAATACCATAAACTCAACCGAATCAAATTCTAAACTGAAAGATACATCAAATCCGCACGAAAATGCGACCGCTACCGTTAACATACAGAATTCTATCAAACGCATACTAACACCCGAAGAAATCAGCTCGACATTTCGCACAATGGCATTCCGAAAATGCGAGCGACAAGTATACGGCCGGTATAAACGTAAATCGTGGATTCGTGCGTTCTGGTTGATTATGTTCATGTTGTTGTTCTTGTCGTTGATGGGTGTTGGCATTGATGGCTGGATAGGTAGGTAAAAATTAATCAATGAATCATGATTAGATCAATTAACAAAATTCGTTCGTAGAAAATGTGGACACTTGGAAAAATTGGCCAGAATTTTTTGTTATCTCGGTGATTTTTGGAATTATGATGTATGCTTATTATAAAGTAAGGAGGATTTTTATGAATTTAAATATTTGAAATGTGTTAACTATTTTTTCTATTTGAAGATTACTGAAATTGTTCAATGGTGCTTTTACTGGTATGTGTGCATTTTTTAAATTTAACAAAATTTCAAAATTTAATAAAATTTTCCTTAACAATTTCACTAGGGTAGCAATCGCAACCCTAATTCTATTAATCATGAATCACGGCTCACTAATCTCGACGAAAGACACCAGATTCGCAGCAACCAACCAAGAATACATTGTCTTGCTATCTCTTGCTGGTGTCGAAGCATTGACCTTACTAATCTGGGCATTCATCAGATTCGCGTATCCACGAATCGTGAAAGACGCAAAATGGTTGAATACAATTTGGTGGTGGCGACTGAAACCAATCATCACGAATCTAGGAGAGATTAGAGGTGACGCGGTTGGCTGTTTTCGGTATATTGCGTGGGAGAGTTATACGTACTGGTTTCGATGGGGAATGGTAACGTATGCGGGGGAAGTTGATGCGCAAGGAAGACCACATGGTCAAGGCGAATGGGTGGATGACTCTTTTGATGGTGAATGTTTGAAAGGTATGTATATATTGATTTTCTAATTGAAAATTTATAAATTTGCGCCAATATCTTTATATATGTGATACTATTGAAGGTATTTGGGAACGCGGAGAACCTGTTGGTCCATTCCAATCAAGAACATCAGGAAGCGGTGACGCTTTCTTTTCGGTTCGCGTTGGCTTTGTCAAGAATAGTAATATAGGGTGGGACGAATGGCGAATATTTCCCAAGATTTATCGCCCTAGCCTAGATTTTGACGTTGCATCGGTAGAGTGCTCAGTGTCGGGTAAATACTTGAAACATCTTCCAAGAGCAACTATAGTTTCGCAGATAACATCACGCGACTCTTTCCATCACCAAGATATCGAAAGTATGAGTTATTATGAAAGATCGCCGATTTTATATTGTCAGGATCAGTTAAAGATATTTGCCGAGGAAATGAACTCGGACGTAATGTTATCACAGGCATCGATTCTTGTTGAACTTGTAAATGGGAAATTTGTGGTACCTGGCTTTTGTCCTATTAATGAAGAAACAATTGAAAAAGAACAAATTGTTATACGACGAGTTGCTGCCGGTCAAACTAACAAAATTGAATATGGACTTGAAATTAACGGGTGGCATGCTTCAGATAGTAACGATGACAATCTAGCAACTACTTCATTTCCGACAATTGGTCAAAGACGTCGTCGTGTTCAAGTAAGCATTTACTCTTTTTTTTTTAATTTACGTAAACATAAACATTGTTTGACATTTTTAATTCTTAGAATTCCTTGCTTTAAATCTGTAAAATAGGAATGTATAATTTTTATTCATGGTTTTAATTGTCCGTCGAAATTTGCTATGGAAACTTTTGGACAATTTCTTGCACTTGCAGATCTACCAAGTTATATCAAACCATTCGTTTTCTCCCCGGCTGGATCGAATGCTTTTTGGTATTGGGAAGCGAAGAAACAGGCAATGTCTACTGAAGTTGTTAATGGTGACTAAGATAAAAAAAATCGATTTATTTTTATACAAATATTTCGCTAATTAATATTTTTCTAGATTTCAAGACATTTCTTAACGAGCTTAATGCTTCTGGCTTTCAGGCAATACATTTAATAGGACATTCTTTGGGTTGCGCATTAATACTCGAATACAGTTCAATTTTCGAAAGTATTTTCGTTACCCATAATAAAACTTTTGTATCCACAACAGCTTCATCATCCCTCACTTTATCATCATCAAACAAGACATTAATAAAATTATCAACAATAACGTTTCTAAATCCCGACACAGAACTCTACAAATTTTATCATCACTACTCTACGCTCTCGAAACACTGTGCACACATAACAGTCTACTCTAACGCGCGAGACTTTGCTCTCAAGGTCCGCGAATATCTTTGTGATGCACCTTCACTTGGCCGACACACCGACAATCTGATTTTTGAGAATAAACTATTGGACGTCGATTTGATAGATACGACACAACTGGATGTGAATATTCACAAGATTCGACATAATTTCTTTAATTTAAATCGATTATTGGTAGACGATCTGAGGGATATTATTGTATTAGGCAAGCGGGCAAGGGAACGAAGAACTCGACTAAGCCGAAAAGTTACTGGTTTAATGATGCGATCTGAGAGTGTTGTTTATACATTTTTGGTGGCGCCGAGTTATGTTGTCAATAAATGATCGATAGATAAAAAGCTAATTGCATTTTGTTCGACATTTTGCATTTTTTTTTTTAACTAGGGGTGGGAGAGAATCTATATCAAATACTATATTTTATTTGAATATCATTTGAGGTGCACGATATACTCACATGCATATTTCTATCTGGAACCGCAGTACGAAATTTTATCGATTTAGGCTTGTTTTGGAGTCCGGAAATTTTGTGTGCATTGATGTTTGATAGTCACTGTACTAAATAGCTTTAAGCTTTTTTTTAATTTATTGTATTTATGTTATTATAGTATTATTTTTACGCCGAAATTTGTATCAATGACATGTTGGCGGTTTTTCGACATCCCGTCACTCCTTTTTGCGATACAATTATAAATGCATATCGTTAATCATATATAAACACTAAATCCAATAAAAGCCACGGGAATACAACTAAAAGTTTGTTTACATGCTCTCGGTCATATATCAATCATTGAGAGACACACACCAAGAACACAGTACCACTGCACAACCAATTGCGAACGTTCATTATCATAAATAGCAGTAATAAATGAACAATTCGTCACGTTCACTTGTTTTTTCACTTGTTACCAGAAAGATTATGCTTTCTCGTTTATCTCATCTAAATTAACACATAATAAATATATATTTTTGATTTCCTTTCATTCATATTTCACTAATACACGAAAACTTTATTTTTTATGAATTTTACGATTACGATAATATCATACTTGAATTATCAAAAAAATAATGGGAAAAGAAACCATAAATTCTTCCGATAATAGCGGTGATAGCATTTATAGTGTTAATAGCATTTATAGCGGTAATAGCACTAATAGCGGTGATATCATTAACGCTACGAATAGTCGAAATGGGAGTAAACAAAGTAAAATGAGTTATATGTCAACTTTGTTGCCTGACAATATACGAATCAGGGAATTCGAGAGAAAAGATTATGAAGAAGTGCATCGACTTTTTGCGAATTCCATGCTGGAGTAAGTATACAACTGAGCCAAAATTCATTTAACAATCCATTATACTAAACTTTTTTTTTTATTTCTTTCAAGTAATGTCGAACATGGACTACGTTCCCTACTTCAACATCGATATTTAATAACTCTCTGGATCTCGATAACTTACCTAACAATAAAAAATTATGAAGCAGCACCCATTACATTACACCTAACAATATTTCTGGCGTGGGGTTTTTTTCTATATGCGAATTTACAACGTGCCGTCTCTGGATATATTATCCATGAAACGAGATGTTCTATTCGAAAGGGGTTGATGAATATTGAAGAAAATTATGGGGGAGGAATATCAACTACTATTAAAAGAACGTCAAAGAAATTCTTTTTGTTTGAAAGAAAAATAAATTCGGAAGCGGTTGGGAATGTTGAGTTGTATAATAATAAGCTTTTGTATAATGAACAAGGACAATTTACTAAACAGTGTAATAACGAGAAATTATCAAGGTTTTGGGTAGCAATAGATAAAGATGCTGGAAACAGAATTATCGCATTCTTAGGACTAACGACTTGTCCTCCCTCTTCATCTTCCACTTCTAACACCTGTTGTAATTGTATAATCGATAAAACACCCGTTGTTACATATCTTTGCGTATCGTACGAGTATCGACGACGAGGGATTGCAACGGCGATGCTAGAACATGCTGTGAAATTTGTGAACCGACGAGGTGGGAAACGAATAGAAGTTGAATTGTGGACTTGGTGGAATCCCGCATTTGATTTGTTTTGCTCGTTTGGATTTGGGGAAGTGGGAAGAGAGAGTCATGTTCTGTGCGGAACTGTTGAACGTGTGCGATTGAGATTGGATGTTGAAATGTGGGCATGGAGGAGGAAGACGAAGCAACAGCAACTATATCAAGAAAATGCGGAATTCTGGTGTAAATGAGAAAATAATAGAATTACTTTTTTTTGTTAAATGTGTATGCTAGATAATTTATATTTTTTTTTGATTTTGCATTATTTTATTAGATAAAACAAGACAATTTCATGGATAAAAAAATAAATAATTAAATATACCAAAAAAATCACATATTAATAAATAAAGGTATATGTATATATCTTTATATCGGGAATAAAATTTTCGCGTTTTTTTATAGAGTTGTAGATCTTTAAACTAAACAACAGCAGATTCTGAATTTCAATTTTATTTATCCTATCTTTATTATAAGACAATTTACTTTGTAAAAAACACTTGTAATACAAGATAAATAAAAGGAAGTATTTTGGCAAATGGAATTATTGTGACAAAGTTATTATATTTCAATATTGATCTTTTTAACTTATTTCTGAGTAATAAATAGATATATGAAAAAATATAGTTTGCACATATTTACTTATTACTTGGAAGCAGATTAAAAAGATTAATTTAGAAATATAATAACTTTATCACAATATTCTTTTATAAAAACTATTAATTCCATAATTTGTAACATTTTACAAAATTATGAAAATGTTAAAAAAACTTTAAATATCTTTTTAATTATATCATATATTATTAATTATTAATTATTAATTATTAATTAATTATTATATTTATTTATTTTTCTATCTATTTTTTATTATTTTTATATTTTTATATTATTAACTTATTTTATTATTATTTATTTTTCTATTTATTTATTTTTTATTTATGATTTGATGCAAAAATATTGATACATAAAAATGAAAGTTATATAAAATATAATTAATATTTATAATTTTTTTATATTAAGTATATCTTAATATAACTTTTTATATTATTTTTATATTTTTATACTTTTATTTAAGAATAAATAAAGCAAAACTTTTTACTTTCGAATAATAAAATTTGCAATTTTTAAAAATTTAAAATAATTTTTAGGTATTATTTTTATAATTTCTATTTTTAGAAGTTTATACTTAGCAAATATATTAATATATATATATATATAATAAATATATATTCATTAGTTATTGAAAATTAAGTTTTAAATTTAATTTTTTTAATATAAATTTATAAAAAATAATTATAAATTATTATATAAAAAATTAAAATTTTAAAAATAAATTTTTTTTATTAATAGTAAAGTAATATATTTATATTTTTGTATCAGATTATATTAAATTACTTACAACCAATAATTCAATTTTGCTAAAATTGAAATATATGTTATTATTATATATATTAATATACTTGCTAATTATAAATTTCTAAAAATAAAAATTCATAATAATAATATTTAAAAATCATTTTTAATTTTTAAAAATTACAAATTTTATTGTTCAAAAGTGAAAAGTTTATTCTTAAATACATATATAAAAAATACTAAAAATAATATAAAAAGTTATATTAAAATATACTTAATATAAAAAAATTATAAATATAAATTATATTTTGTATAATTTTTATTAAAAGTAATTATTAATTTTCATTTTTTATATATCAATATTTTTGTATCAGATTATATTTATTTATTTTAATAGATATACTTTAGTTAATTATAAATTTTCAAAGTATATATTTATTTATCTATTTTTCTTATTTATTTTTTTATTTTTCATATTTAGTGAATTAAAACTTTATTTTTAGTTAATATATTTATCTTTTATATTTCTTTTTTGAGCTTAATATTATATTATATTCATGAAAAATATATACAGACAAACCTCCCTAAATGCACCCTCTATAAGTGCACACCCTCTCTAAATGCACCTTTTAATTTGGTCCCAAGCTGGAATAATAATGCTAAATGCACACCTTCCATATTCTACACGTACAACAATTTTCAAGTCCTATTATATTTGATGTTTCTCTGTAAGTGCACAGCACGTGATTAAAAATCATGTGTATTCAATGAAAATTCAAGTGACGTTGACTGTATTTTCTCTTGAATGAATTTTTAACGTTAAAAAAATGCGCCAGCATTTATGCAGATTAACAATTGCAGATTAACGATTGCATACTTGTCGGATCTTTCGTGATTAAAGATTGATAATGCAAACCACTGTTTGATGAACATATAATACTCAACTTAGAGCTTTACCAATCTATAAAAGGCATAGTCAATTAGGGTTTGTGTTGGTCTATACCTGGATATAATAAAAACTATATCAATATACAAATTATTATTACTACCATCGCTATTATTACCATAATTAACGTTTTTTTTCAAAACTCTGATTTTACGATTTAACAACAATATATAAATTATTTTTATTGTTTTATGTATTGTATCACTCTCCGATCATTGTATCTCCCCATGTACGTAATATACATGTATCTTCATAATCATGAGTAGAATATAAATATCTGGAATATTTTTAACTGTAAGAAGAATAGATTACTTATATTTGGCACTGTAAAAATCCTGGTCATTCTCTCACGAAAATGACGTTCATGATAATCACTATCCTGGTTGCTATATCCTGGTCCACTATGAACAAATCCTCTTCTCCCTCTCACGTTCTTATGCTTGATAATCAACTCTATTATAATTGTGTTGGTTGTGAATAAGCGGTTCCGTCGCAATAAATGCGTCAAAATAATTAATCAAATAAGCTCGAGGAAGATAAAATTGCAATACCCAGACAGGACAACTGCAAAAATCAAAAATTTTTTGAACCCAAAATTCATTGTCATTTATTTGTTGTTGATGCCACCCAAAAAAAAATCACTCTAACAGATGCCCAAAAATACAAATTTTGTCTTTATGCTCGTGATAATAAAGAAACTCGTGAAAAATATGTAAAATAAATCAAAGAAAAGTGGAGTATTACGGTCGATAAGTCAACGATTATCCAAATTCTCCAATCCAAAGACAAATGACTAGCAACGGAAGTCATAAATCAAGAAGCAAAACGTCATAAATTTGTTACTTCCCCGGAACTCGAGTTGGCTCTTAAGGAATTCATACTAATCTATCAGGATAAAATGATTTTAAGTGACGCTTTGTTGATTGAAAAGGTGAAGTTATTGGCAAAAGATTTTGAAGTTCCTGAGGATGCATTGCAATTTTCTCCCGGATGACTCTACAAATTCAAGAATCATAATGAAATTCATCAAGAGAAACTTCACGGTGAAGAAGCATCTGCAGATCAAAGTGCCATTGCTGAATCTTTGTCATTGTTGCGAAATAAATGTTTCAGATATCCTCCTGATCGAATTTATAATATAGACGAAACAGGATTTTTTTATCGATTGGAGCCTGACTGAACACTGGCGACACAGCATTGTTACAATCCAAATATTCTATAATATAGTTATTTTAATGTTAGTTAATAACTTTTATTATATTTAGCATTTTTAATAATTAAATTTATTTAATTT